CCGCCCGGCGGCTCCCGGCAGGCGTCTGGGCTGCCCCCGTGTGGGGGTGTCACCCCCACACCCACCGCTGGGTCTAATCGGCTGCACAAAAGGTCTGGGTGCGGAGCAGCACCTGCAGCCACTGCCTGCAGGGCTGAGGATGCTCCGGCTTCATCCAGCTGCAATTCTGGAGGGGGCTCAGGCTCTGCCATCAGGTCCCTGGAAAGGAGAGGACACGTGAACCAGAGCAATGAGTGTAACAGGTCCCAGCTCTTCCTCTCCGCCCTGCGAGACGCGGGTGCCCCGCAGCAGGCTGACCTGGGGGTGCTCTTGCGTCTGTCCCCGTGTCACCCAGGGGCTGTGCAAACCGGGCAGGGCTGCCCTTGCACGCTCCGATGACAGCTTCGACCCAAACTGTCGGCTTTGGCATGGCCCAAAACAAGGGAAGAAAACCCTCTAAAAGTGACTGACCGCGACGGAGGAAGAGCGAGGGATGCAAACCCGGACCCCGAAACCGAGAGCTACTCCGGTGCCAACGGGAACTGCCGACCGTGTCATAACCGATCTCCCCCAGTGGCACCAGTGTGACTGGCAAGATGAGAGTGTAGCTGCTGTGCCCGTGCCAAAATCTCACACCTGGGGTGTCGCACACACGGCGCACCGCCGCCGTAGGCACTTCCAGTAAAACTTGCCGGGATTTTAGCAATGTGGCATAACCTCACGGCAAGGGAATGTGCTGCTAAAGCGCAGGCTGGCTCCAGGATGGCTGAGATGGAGTAAAGCACCGCACGCACAGCGCCCGAGCGAGCAGCAGCTTCTGCAGCAGGAGCCTGGCGAGCTCCGCTTTGCAGAGTCATCCGATCCCGTCATTATCCCCAGCCCCGGTACCTGCAGCTGCCACCACAAAATACTTGCATCTCACATTTGCCCGGGTGCTATTTGGGGTAGGAGGAGGGGACAAACCCTCGGGGTCGAGCTAGAGCTTTTCCTGCCGCTTCCAGGAGCTGGAGCCGGTGGGTTCGGTGGGAGGATGCTCTCACCTCCCGGCCACGCCGCTGAGCTCATGTCTAGTCATCCCCCAAGGAATGAGCACAGGCTGGCGCTCACAGGCAGCCCTGGGCTCGCGGCAACAGCTTTAAGGAAAGAACTGATTTTCACCAATACTTTCTCTCCTAATAAGGTAGTTTTCAGCAGCGATGACACATCGCAGCCTCGGACCCAACGGCCCGTCCGTTGGAGAGGGGGCAGCGCCTGGAAAGGTGGGGAAAGGGCTCCGCTTCATTTTTTCTTGCCCTCCTCCGGTGCCAGTGCTTATTTTTCAAAGTTCTTGGCTCTGCTTTGCATCCAGCAGCGCGGGAGGGGAGGATGGCCGCCCCGCCCTCGCAGCGGGGTGTGGGGGCTCGCTCCCGCC